TGTCAGGAGGCCTCCTGCAGGCTTCTGCTCTGTGTGGCCTGCAGGTCTACCTGTGTGTTGTCAGGTTTGGTAGAGGCATGCCATTTTAGGAAGGGGCCAACTGAACTCAGGACTTGGAGTAGCCATGGGTTGGCCTCAACTCAGAGCTCCCAGGGACATGGTGAGGGACAACCCAGGGAGACATCCAGGATCAGGGAGCTGAGGTCATGCTGGCAAGAGACACCCAGAGTGTTGTAGGATGAACAACACGGGCCGCAAACTCACAGTCAGGGGCCAGGATCAGAGTGGCCTGAGAGTCTGTGGAGCTGAAAGCACCAGAATGGGCATCTGGCCTTATTCCTACTGCAGGCTTGCTGGGATTATGCATGATGGACCTGTGCTCTGTCTGCCTCCTTTGTCTACCATAGACAGTGGAGACAGACCCAGAATTGGACACTGTCACAGAACCATACACCCCAGAAGATGGCCACAGGCTTCAAATTGCAGAGAAATCTCTTTTTTCTTTTCTTGGTTTTTAAAAAATTGTTTGTTTTTGTTTTTTCATGAGTGTGAACATTGTTTTAGTTTTCTTTTGCTCTTCTTTTTGTTTTTTTTTTTCTCTTTCATTCTTTCCTCCTGTCTTTCACAGTATCCCAAGTCTTGGATAGTCTTCCTTTGTCCTTCAGCCTTGCTTTCTCTTCTTTTATTTCACTCTCTTTCCTCATATCTTTTAAAATATTCTCCCCACAGGCTAAAAATGCTCTATTAAGGATATATTTACTGTATATAACTTTCTTATTTGTTTTAGATTTTGTGATACAACTATAAATTTTGTACCTATGGTTAAAGATGGCAAATTAACAGTTACTAGTATTCATCACTTTTTAGACTGTGCTTCATGGTCTTGTTATTGCTGATTCTACTACTCTAGCCACATTGATACAGTTATTGTGATCAGTTCTTTGTCCTTGTGTACCAATATCAAGGTTATTGGGAGTCATAAGCAATACCATAGTCCGAAGAACTGGGTGCTAGGCCAAACAGGCTGCAACCTCTCATCCCTAATAAAATGAAGAGGCAGGATCTTGGGACAGACTCAAAAGCTGAAAGCCAGCTCTATCTAGAAGACATCATAAAAAGTAATCATTTCTTAAGGATGTCTTGATGTTAGCAATAAAGCTATCTCTCAGAAGGAATGCACAATCATCAACACAGAAAAAAAAAAAGAAAGAAAGAATGTAAATGAGAAAAGACAGAAGCAAGTTACAACCCTCGACCTCCATTTTGCTCAAAGAAAATCCAGGGAGCATTGAGGAGGAAGAACTAAAAAGCCACCCAGCTGAACCTTCTGAAATGATAGCAGTAGATGTAACAAAGTAGATGAATGTGGTTCTAGAAAGAAAATCCAAAATAGTTATACAGGTAACTAAAGAGAGGAAAACCATAATGAAGGATGTGGAATCTAGAGTCGATACAGATGTAAAAAAAGAGGCACTCACGTGGTAGGGAACTCTAGCCTTTGGGCTGGACCCCAGCCATGCAGGTGCCCTGGAGGCGGGCCACCTGCACCCGGGAAGCCTTGCAGCAGAGAGCTCCAGCCTTTGGGTGGAACCCCAGCCACTCAGGTGCCTGGGAGATAAGCAGTTGGCATCCAGGAAGCCGTGTGTCAGTGTGCCCCAGCACGCGCTGGCCCTCAGGCCAGCCACTGCCACGTGGTTGAGAACTTTCATGGCACAGAGAAGCAATGACACAATTGGCCTGCCACGTGCTGGCTGCCGAGGCCCACCCGAGGACGTGGGTGAATCATCCCAACATGGAGAAACCCCTGGGAATACGTGCCACACAATGGGTCACTCTTGCGCCTGCTGTTGAGAACCAGAAATGTCCAGAGTCAGCAGAGGAGCAGCTGCTGAACAAGGACTCGGAGAACATGAGAATACAGACTACACTAGAAGACTCAGAGGTGTAGTTGACTGAGATCACGAGAGCCGTTCTGAAGCTGGAAACCAGTCCTTGCACAGTACTTGAGGAGACCCCCTGGAAGC